AATACAACTGTAACTGGTTCATCATTTCATTGGCGAAGAAATATTTGCATTTTCTGGAGGCCGTCGTCACTTGTGGTGTGTGGTCTGCACCCGACACTTTCTGGCTTTTTGGGTCGATGGATACAATGGCTAACTCGGTGTGCGTAAGACCAGGCGAGGTTTTCTCTGGAACTTATAGTAAAACCTCGTAGAAAGGAAAAGTGTGGTGAGCAGGAGAAAACGTCACATCGAAGCGGGCATAGCCGAAATTCGAAATTGAAATCCCCCCTGTTTCCCCCTCAGACAGGCAGTTCTTAAAAGCCTAATCAAATCAGTCAGTCAATACTTACTCAGATATCACTTAGAAAAAATGCCAATGGTTGACTGATTATCTCTGCACAATCCCTCAATCATGACAAAACTATGGAATAAATACTTTATTGGTTACTGATTAACAACTTCAACATTGTCGTGGTTCTTCAACCAGGTGCTTATAGCTGAGCTGATTCTCTGCATTTCTTCTTCTGATATGACCTGAAAAAGCTATGAGTCATTATTTTAACACTTCTTATTGAGGAACCGAGTGCTACAACTCCTGTATGTCTGTATTCACTGTATGTCTAGAGCAGGTTATCACTAAATGAAAACTCCTTGAAGCTTCAACAAATTTGGCAACTGACATCATATCATCATTCACATATGAAAGGCAGCGATCATGTCTCGTTCTCAATGAAGTATGGAAAAGGTACCGCTGAACCATGTGGAAGTGAATGAGAAAGCAGAAGAAGTAACCAAAACCTGGGGAACGGTATCACAATCTACTTTGGTTAGTCTAAGGGTAAGCTTACGGCTGAACCAATCCAACCGGGAAGGTCTTTGGTGCCATTTTTCAAAACGGTTTCTCGATACAATGTGCATGGAACATACATCACGCTTCTTTTCTCCTGAGCGGCCCTTCGAACGCCAAAAAGGGTGGACTAGTCCATGGTTTGAACCCCCTGATGGAAAAATTTCGCCTTCTTGATTGACGATTGCACCATGTCGCAAAATGGTACCTGCAGCTAGTTATGGATGCCATAGTACTATTAGGTTCGCGACTAACCCGTATAAGTAGGTTTATGGCAAAACTGGCCAGAGATGTGGCATTCAAGTCTTCTAACCACTTTTCTGGCATTCAGAGGACCGCTCAGGGAAAATGAATCATAGCTCTCCGTTCCTTGCATGTGCACCCACATTATGAAAGAAAATCTTTTTAAAAGCGGGACACGGCCTGAGGGTCTTCCCTGGTAAGATTGAAAGATAGAGTACGTGGGAAGGTGGTATATACACAGCTTGCCATGAAATGTGCGTTCAAAATGAAGTACCATAACTCGAGTAAGATTAGTCGATAATCCCCAAACAGTTCACCCACGATGTAAGGTGGGCTTTCGCGAGCACGATAATGTGTAGCATTTCTTTTCAGCGGAGCCCAGCTCACGCTGATAATAAAAGCCGTTCCTTAGAAAAGGTTCGGTTGGACCACTATCCTTTCCTTATCCTGCCTTTCCTCGACACAAACGTTCTGATTACCATGACCACTGCCTCCGGACTGCTTTGTCCTGGGCTATTTTCGTGGAATGTGTTGGAAAAGGACAAAGACCGCGGATTTCAACTTACATTTATTGGATGTGGAACTGCAGACTGTGGATATGCTGGCTGTGGAATTGGAGACGGCATTGCTGACTGTGGATATGAAGGTTGCGGAATTGATGGTTGTGGAACTGCTGGCTGTGGGATTGGCGGCGGCATTGCTGGCTGTGGATATGAAGGTTGTGGAACTGATGATTGTGGAAGTGCTGGCTGTAGGATTGGTGGCTGCGGGATTGTTGGCTGTGGAATTGCTGGTTGTGGATATGCTGGCTGTGGATATGGTGGCTGTGGATATGCTGGTTGTGGATATGCTGGCTGTGGATAAGCTG